CGCTGTCCCCTGAGAGGGACTTTGACCCAGGCCTAATCGGTGATGTCAGATAACCTCAGATAAGTAGGCTTCATGTTTGACCTCGTGGATCACCTTGATCATCTTCTAGAGGTCACTAAGAAGGCTTCAGCTTTCCTAGTTGTCAATTTCCAGTACTGGCTTTTGCTCCAGGGTCACCTGTGTTCATCTATTCACCCTTCGGGTTGCCAGAGGTAAACTTTAAATTCCTGCTATATTCTGTTTTCTGATGCCTTCTCCCTCGTTATTACTCATAATGAAGCATTCATCATTTAATATCTTCATTCTTTCTAATGCCAGCAAGGATGGTGTCTTTTTCCGCATATAGAGCTTACAAGCAAACATTCAAAATGTGCAGCCATGCACCAATAAGGAGCAGGACTTGCAACCTACTCTAAAATTGTGCAGACTGAATTGTCCATCTCCAGCTGTGCTGGGAGATGTTCCCATAATGTAGGCTATAACAGGCCTAAAGGCCACAGGAGCTGTGGTCCTTTCTACTTCTAAACCTTTTACAAGGTCTGTGCACCTGAGACTTGAATCATCACGTTTCCACTTAGAGTAAAAGCACTCTAACATACTCTTGAAGACAATTCTCTGTGATTTTTTTCCATTGGAAAAATGCAAGGCAATCATGTGCAGAAACATAGCAGTACCATCTGATTTAGACCTTTACATATAGCTCACAGAACAGGATTATTGGAAGTGATTGGCCTTGTCCCATCTTTTCTTTCACTGAAAAAGCATCAATTTTGGTGTAAAACTGGCCACTGCTAAGTATGTGCAAAAGTTGTATCTGTACCATGATGAAGGATAATATGGCCATGTCTAAAGGAGGTTTCAATAAGAGATGTAAATTGTGCCCAGGAGACACAAAACTTTTTCCTTGCCAGGACTAATTTTTAACTCTTACCAAAAGGTTGCTCATTCTGAAACTAAGGCCACTTTATTTTAATGGCCAAAGAAAGACGTATCTAGGCAGGAATTAAAGTTATGACTCTCTGCATAGATAACTGCCAAGTGGTTCTGACACTGCAATGGAGATATCCAGGATGTCCTCAGTGGCTAATAATGGGTTTTTCCTCCTTCACCTTTCCATAGCGAGATCCCGAGTCTTACACAGACTCCAAAATGTGCTTCAGACAGATGGAATATATTAGGTTAAAAGGTTTTACAGTTGAGATTTCTGGTACAGCTCCATGAAGAAGCCTGCACAATAATGTGGGGCCAGTGTTTTCAGTTTCCCTCTTTCATGTATATTAAACATTTCTCATCATAAAGTACAGCTGGTGAAAGTATCTATTACTAAAGCTGCCTAGCACTTCTCTTTATAACAATTGGTTTCACTGGCTTATAACTTGCTAAACTTGGACCATTTGGGCTGAAGTTTTCCATGATAACATCTAAAGGCTGATATTTTGGGAGAGCTTCAACAGCAACAAAAATGGTCCAAAAGCCTAGACCAATGAAAAATAAGTAGTGTAGCCAAGTCACATTTTTTATGTCAGCTTAGATGAGAAATTTTAGTGCTTTCATTCTTTCAAGTGTCAATTTTGGCAAGTTTTTCAGGTATTAGGGATGTACATTTGCCATTCCTGTGAAACTAGTGAAATTTGGCCAAGCTTTATATCTTTGGAAAATACTGGCTTGCAGATGCTCCATAGACATTTTTCAGTTTGGCAGCTAAACTGTAAAAACTTTCCTGCTACATTGAACATGTGCCAGACCTTCAGCAAGGGATATAGCAGGACCACTGCAAAGCACAGATGAGGAAAGTAATTTCAACATAAGATCAGCGGACTCACATGAAACAAGGCTAAATATAGCATGATCTATGTGCTTCAGAAATTGTGTAATTATAACCTTGAACATCCATTTCACTGGGACTTTCTTAACTGTCATTTTCAGTTTATTATAAAGCTGAGAGATACAATAATAGTACGGCTGCTCTTCTGTAAGTGAAAGGAGGCTTCCCTGACTTCCACAAACTGAAATACAGTTGAGGAACAGCTCAATATATATGCCTTCTGTTTTTTCCACATACAATTTTGTGCAAACTCAAATCATGATCATATCAGTAACATACAAGAGATTTAGAAAAAGCTACTGATAGTCTCATTTTGCCATATGGGGAAGCTACAGGAAGAATCCACATACTGCAAGAAGAATCTCTTTGTTAACTATCTATTTAAAACTACTCCAGTCAAGTACTTCTAAAGATTTTTAGAGACATTCATCAAATCAAATTAATTTTCTGTGATGAAAGGCAGTGCTATAGCAGTTCACTGGAGGCAAAAACTAGGGTAAGAACTAAACCGTAGGACTCTGTCTTTACTATGCCCTCAATATTCCTATGCCAGGATTACTTTGTTAAAATAATCCAAGCCACTACCACTCCCATCCCCAACTAATCCTGCCAGGACCAATTTTGCTAGACAAAACTGAAACAGATAACACCTAAGTTTTAATGGCTCTCATGCATTTAGCCAAGAACTCAAGGAAATAGTAATGTAGACAGAAAGGGAAAAGACAGGAAATTAATCATGCAGCCCAAAGTAAAGCTTCTCAACAGGACATTTTTTGGATCCTGGCAGTTGTTGATGTAGTCACTTCAATTTAATTTGTCTGTACTACTGCCACAGCATACTGAACTCCACAATTGTGGGTAACACTTTTATTTTGTGCTTTACAATTACTAGTGGTTTTCTTCCAGCATGGGCAGAATTACAGAAAAGAAAATTCTGAAGTACTGAACAGCATCTTTAGACTGCTGAACACATTCTGGTCTTCTGTTTATTTATTTATTCCCATATGGTTACCAGCACACCTGAAAGAATGCTGCTACAGGCACTTAATAGTGATTGTATTGTTATAAATTGTAACTAACTTGTAAGAATTTTTTATAGATACTAAACTGAAATGATTACAAGTTTACAAGTGCAAGATCTAAGTTTTATTAAATGGCCTTGCTAGAAAGCATCATCTGTAACTGTTTTCTCCCTTTTAATTGCCCTATCACTTATCAATGCATATTTATAACATACAGATACAAAATACATATCATTAGCTATAACATAACATTGAAAGAGCTATTAATAATAAGTGGCCTAAGATTTCCCCAGAAATCTGTTTTTCTACTGTAAAACTCTCCTTTCAATTGCTTATAACTTCAGCTAAATTTAATCCTCTGGGCTGAATTCTTTATGCTGAATGTTTCCCTTATACTGAATTTATTTGGAGAAAAATAAGCCAAAGTGATCAACTGTTTCTGAGAACAAAAGTGAGCAAAAAAATACATTCTTTGCTCACATTTTAAAAAATCCAGCAATCTGCTGACAGACTTCATTTCCTCTAATTTGGTGACTGAGGCAAGGTCAGAAATATGCTCCAGCGAATTCTCTGACAACCCCCTTAAACTCATCACAATAAAAGTCTACGAAGAGGCTTCACACCAGAACTTTCTCCAGCTTCAAATCTGAAAGGGTCGTGACTGCTATGCTGCACACAGAGCCATTTCACTCTACAGGAGTTCACCTGTAGCTGCAGGGAGGGGTGGAGAGAGAGGAGAAAGAAAGAGGAGAGGAGCCCTTCCCCGGCTCTCCATTGCAGGCTCTCTCCAGAACCACACTGGAGGAAACCTGTGCTCTGAGACATGGGAACGACTCTCAGGGAGGAGGAAGATACACATTTAGCTGGGGAGAAACTCTGGGAAACTGCATGGGGAACTGGGTGGTGGCAAATAAGTGGGCCTGGAGACTGAACAAAAACTGCCATCGACTGCACTGGAAAATTGAGCCAAGCTGGGGGAACTGGGGTGCCACCTTGGCAACATGATTTAATAATTTAGTAACAGTACCCTGGAACTGGGAGCTGAAAGCAAAAGCCGAGCGGTCCAAAAAATGCTGAGGTTCTTCTAGCTTGTGAATTAGGGCCCAAGCAGAATAATCAGATCTCAAATCTCTCTTTTTTTCCCCTCTTTTGTACATGCAGCCAGAAAGAAAAACAGTTGGCACGTGTTGCACTGAAGCATGTTCAGCAAAATCTCCCATTATTCTGTGGTTAATGCATCCTGTCCAGGGAACAACATAATTTATTTTCTGAGCTACCTGGCTTACTAGTGAATAGGGAAGAAACTGCTGAATGGAGGAATCAGATCTAAGACGGCAGAGCCATCAAATATGGACCTCTTTTGCTCTATGCTTTGACCTATCTACTACCAGCCACTAGATGGATCGTCGGCCTGGCAGAGTTCAACAACTCCCATGTTTTGAAACATTTACTAGTATGTCTTCATCTGCATTACCCTAAATGTTCAGATAGTGTCTTAAATGCTAATTCATAGGCAAGTTATGACAGGAAAAAAAAACATTTTGTAACTAAAAAGCAAGCATATATTACATAGAAGCCTTTAGAAATCACCCATGACAACACTCTGTTCACTTTACTGACTTCAGCTGGGATGGCTCTGCTGATTACACAAGCAAAAGAACTCTGGCAATTCACATTCCCAAGGGGCTTTGATACTACCTTGGGTTTTTATAGATTTCAGATCGGGGCGGGGGGAGGTATTAATAATTTCACACATTAATGTGCTGAACAAGGAAATGAGCTGTATTCCGGTCACTTGATTTGAAAATCAGGGTCAATGACATTATATAAATGACCATATAGACAGATACAACTGGCCACATGCCTGCCATTCTAGGTTACTGGACTTCCCAGGAATGGATGTGGGGCAATTTCTCTCTTCTATACAAGAAAGACTTATTTCTGATTTATATCACCTGAATACAAACCGTCCTACCTCCTTGATCTCTTCTCACTTTCACTTGAATGTCTCATCAGTCTGCCATTAGAATACTAGTTTGTATGCTCATGCACACAAACATACACGCACACGCGCACACGCTCTCTCATACCAGAGATGTTGCACGGTAATAGGTAAAAAAGACAAAGATGCTATTTCTTACTTTTACTTTTAGATCGATTCTTCTAGTTTTTCCAGAAATCGCTTAACATGAAAGAGTGTTATAGTTAAGCTTGTTCTTAAATGTTGAATCAAGAGCCCCTATTCTTATAACTAGGTGAGAACTCTCAGCTGTAATGGATTTCCTTTCATTTTAAGTCTTTTAAGCCTGAAGCTGATTATTTGTTAGAAAGGGCACAATAAAGCAGAAGATTTATAATATTTCAAAGAAAAATTATTTTGTTTAAATCATATCTAACTTACCTGCTATCTTAGCTAACATTCAGTTAACCTACCCAATTAATCATAGAGATAATATAGATACTAAAAGTGAGACCAAAAGTGTTTGGAAAATACAGACTGCATCATTTATAAACACCCACGTTTTGCTTTATTCCATTGCCCCCTCAGCAGACATACCAATACAAACTTACCTTTTTTTTTTTTCTTTTTGGCCACGTGTGACTCCAGGGCTGCAATGAGCAGACTCTTACATTAGCATAAAGCAAGTAACTTCCAGAATCAGACTTCTGAATGCTACCTGGCAAGTGAGGGATGCTACTACAACTCAAAAGGATTTAAAGGGTAAGGTTTTTCTCTCTCTCTAGATACAGGTAGCAAGTATAAACTAAAATGAGCTGAGGAAAGACTGAACTGAGACATGACGTAGTTATAATTGTCAATAGTTGCAAAGTCTGCAAATTTCCAGTCACTACTATTCCTTATTTCTCTGGCTAAGGCTACCTTAAAGACTGCCCAAGAAACACAACGCATATATCCAAATATAAGCTACCTACACAGACTGCCTTCTGTACTTTAACCTATGTTTCAATGAAGATGCAGGACGATTGACAAGGACCTCAGTATCATGAAATGTTCACAAAATGAAAAAAGGGCAATCCTTGAGGCGAGATAAAATCTCACCTCATTAAATTCCTTAGTGAGACCACTCCACTGCCTCCTACTCACTGCTCCAGTGTGTTTTACTCATAATACATTCCTTCACACATTCGTGTGATGGGGGAAGGACTAAAATATGAATGTTTTCCTTCTTCTCTATTAGAAGTTATTGAATTAAAAAAGCTTTTAGTACGCTAAGTGAGCTGCCAAAAATATTCTTTGAAAGACAAACTTCAGTTTCAATGTTGGTGCAGGTAAATAACCATGTGAAAACTAATGGAATATTTCAGTTCAAATTCTTTCTTCTTAACTGTTCTTATGGTCTTGCTAAAAAATATTTTCCTAGTCTTCTTTACATAAAAAAAGGTTTAGAGTTTTATTCCAAGGAATATACCAAGAGATTTTTCCCCACCTTGGGAAATACATCCATGCACCTGGCATTTAACTGCAGTTTCAAGAGCCCCAGGCTCCTTGGAGTGCCTAAACCTTCAAGTACTCTTGTTGAAATTTCTGATTCTCACCGTGCTCACCAGAAGTTGTGCCTAAGAGAGGATGTCCCTTTTGCAGTCAATGGCTGTGGTGTTGGGGGTTTTGGCTTTTGTTGCAATCAATTGCTTTTCCAGAAGCCAAGCATCAAGACAAATAGCTCCTAGGTTTAGGGAGCTATAAACCAGCTAAGAGCTGCAGCAGCAGAGAAGCGAGACTTACTTTGCCCATGTGCAGAGTGGACTTGCACATTCTCTGTAGATTTAATGGGTCAGCCAAACCATGCCATGACAGCACAAACTAGTTCAAGTTCAGCATATCCCTCTGGAACTGTCTTTGATCTCTATAGAACAAATCTGCCGACCCGATCCTTGCAGCTAAACAGTGGAAAACAGCCTAGGAACAACAACTCATTTGGTCTTCCTCCCTACCAGACCACTACAGTGAAGTCGGTCATCAGACTCATGTTTTCAACTACATGGAGGTGAAGGAGACAAAAACAAAACACAAAATGCTTCTACAAATAATCTGCAAGAGAAATCTTTTCTCTGTGTAGACATAGTCAGTAACGTGAATCCCACCCAGGCACTAGGAATTTATCCTTTTCCAGGCCCTGCAGTGCATTCAGGAGTCAAAACTGCCCACTGGCTGAGCAGATGCTTAATCTTTATAGTACCACTATGACGAGGAAATTGCAAAATTTCAAGAAAACCAGACTGTTCACTGTTACTCAGCAGGCAGATACTAAAACTGAGAAATGGTTCAAGTAAAGCATCCTCTTAGGCACTTTGTGATGTTTAGCTAATTTGTGTTTAAAAATAGATTGGGAGTGCCAAATACAGTTAAATCTTGCCCTGGATAGGCTATACACTGACCGTGAGGTTTCCATTTCCTCAAATGATTATACTTTCAGTGACAAGTGCAGCCAGTGTCCTTAGTGGTTTTTTTTTTTATTTATTTTGAAAGGCACAGGCCAGTACGTGAATGCTTACAGACTGCATGTTATAAATCCTACCTTATGCTTCAGAGAAGAAGGGCTACCAGATCCCAGTCCTCCAGTGGCATACTGACGCAGCCAAGAGCTTGGTCTGTCAGCTACTGCAGGAATAACCTTTCTCCCCTGACATTTCCAAGTGTACTCTGTAATGACACTGTGATAAACATGCCAGCAGCTGAAAATGCATTGTGTACAGTTCCAACTATTACTAATCCTTGGGAAATGTATGGAAGGCAGCAGCAGTTGGTATCTGGGAGGAAAGAAATCTAGTGCACCTTTTAAAGTTATTGCTATGAAAAACTTCACCCCACTTTATGACTTAAAATCTTCTTTTTAATTTGGAATTGTTTACAGTTTGTCTCAGTTCAATTTTTTTCTCATTCTAAATAGCATTAAGAAAACCTGTTCACATGTATGCACATGCATTTGTATAAGTGAAGTGCCTATCCTGCACATGGAAAACAACTGTTCTCTCTCTCTCTCGCAGCAGCATTTGATTTCTTAGATGTTTCTAGACCACTAATCATTTTCAGTGCTCTCCAAGGAGCACTGTGCAGTCTTGCTTGATGCGGGGTGCCAAGGGATCATATACTCCTATGGAATTCTCCCTGCATCAAACAGAGTGGCAGGATGACCTCACCCGCATTGCAGGCTACATTTTTCTTTGGACTTGAACAATTTTTGCCCTGATCGCAAACCAATCTGCCAGTGTAGACCCATGTGCAGTCTGTGAAGAGTATCAACTCCATCAACCTTTTCTGCAAAATTGCCACCCAGATGGTTATTTCCCTACCTTGTACTCACACGTTTGCCTAGCCTCACAGTTACAGTCTTACAGTTGACCCTGTCGAATGGTATCATACTTTCCTCAGGCTGGAAGGCCTCATTTTCCCAATATGTAAAACTCTGGTGTACCCATATCTTTAGTACAGTAGGCATTTCCCAGTCTCTGCAGCTCAAGGCCAAAGTGAAGATAGAGAATGGCAGCTAACATGATTAAGGAGATGAAGCAGCTGCAACGAGAGACCAGAAAGGTTGGGACTTCTCAATTTGAAGAGGAGAAGGCTGAGGGGAAATATAAACCCTGAAGATCATGAAGGGAGTGCATAAGGTGAATGCTGAACTTTTATTCACATGGGCACACAATATTAGAAGAAACTCTTTGAAATACATAAGGGCTTTACTTTCTTGTCTCCCTAGCTGTCTCTCTAAACAGAGTTCTGGATTGTGCAGCCAGGAAGCTGTGGAGCAAATAACACGCTCAAAAAAGGGATTAGACAAATTCATGGACAATAGCTCTAAAACAGATACTACAGGAAAAAGGCAGGAGTGTACACACTATCATCCCTGATGCAATGACTGAGGACATTGAAGAAATACAAAGGGAATGGACTGCAGGGAGCAGCTTGGCTCCCATGCTTTTCCTACGCTACTACTGGACACTAAAGCAGTGGGCTTGAGGAACTATTGGTCCAACCCAGTAAAGCTTTCCTTTATGTCCTTACCATTTCTCCTGCTTGTTAAGGTCATTTAGCATTCTAATCCTGGTCCTTCAGTGCTCTGATAGTCCACCCCTGGTTGGGGTCATCTCCAAATTCAATGTGACTATTCTACTCCATCATAGTCACTGATGAAAATAAGGAATACTATTGCATAAAGTACACACTTTGGAAGAACTTCTCTAGACGTATCATTCTGAACTGATGGGAAACCTTATTAGAGCTACTCTTTGAATATTGCTTTCCACCACTTCCCTGCAATTCTTACTACATATTTTACCTATGCCCATTTCCCTAGAACATTCACGAAAATTTCATGCATGACAGTGTCAAATACTGCACTTTAATAATATGAATCTGACCACTGCATATAATATTTAAATATGCCAAAGAAAATTATGAAAAGCAATCGAAGAACAAACTTGCATAGTTAGAGCACAAACCAAACCACGGCCTTTATAGTACTGAATAAAGCTTTCCAAATATTAGAAAGCCATTGTCTCCATGAACAAAAAGAAGTAGAAAAAATTTTTAGAGCCATGCCTAAAATCAAGAGTCATATACAGCAACAAAGACATCCAAAATGGGGCCTAACTTGCAGGATTTAAACATCAGCTCAAGGCTGTGTGCACAATAAATGTTTCTACTATTGGCAAAGGAGAAACTGGCTGACCATCATACTGGCTTTCTACAGTTGACTAGTGGACAATTAATTATACCAGATGCATTTGATAAGTACCACAGAGTGGCTTGTCTGGAGGCTTCTTCATAGTTTCAGCACAGATCTTTCCACAGCCTTTTTAATCTTTTATGCTTTACATATTTATTATTATTAATAATAATTGCTTTTTCAGAGAGATATTAGGGTTTAATTCTAACTTACTGATTCCAGTATTAGTCCTTCCAGTAGCTGCAATAGGGCTGGAGTCTAATTTCTAACACTTACGCCTGATACATGCACAAACTACTTTTAATCGATGCATTTTTGCATGAACTGCAGTGAAGGACTTCCTCTCCTGACTGGTCCCAGAGACCATCACAGCAAGGTAAGTACAAGAGCAGTAGTTTCAGCAAGAGAGAGACAAAGAATAGGTCAATATTGAAAAAGCAATATTTATAAAGATTTCCTCCTCAGCCCCACGTGAAAAGGTTGTATGTTCTCCAGTATTTACATTCTGACAAATTAGCTGCTCCAGAATTGTGAAAAGGACAGGAAAGCCTAAATAATAAAACCAAAACAGATGCTGTGATGCTAAGATATTTAAGGTCTTTCAGTAAACAATATTTCAAAATATGGCTCTATATAAAGGTCTGATATAAAATGGTGTGCCACACAAAGCATGTTGTTCACCCATTTCTGAACAACAGGGATGTTATTCCCTCCTTTATCCACAAAACTCCCTACAGCTAGAGACGCTGTCAAGAAACTATTCTAAACAGGGACCGTACTCTTTGCCAGAATTTCCTTGTGGTAGTTGATCCCATTCATGTTCTTCGTTACTTTATCATGTCAGCACAGCACATTTTTTTCCACTACTTGACGACAGCTAACATATTTTCCATTGTACTATAGTAGAAATAAATGAAATTACGTTCTAAAAACTGGGTGGGTGGGAAAGGCAGCTAGGAATGAGACCTTAGCACTTGGCAGTCTTGGTTCTCATTTTCACAACAGAGTTGCAATTGTCAGGTGAAAAAGCTCTCTCTTTACAAATGTAGCTGCACACTTCATCAGGGATAAAAACAAAGGTCTTGTACAACTCATTTTTGTCTTTACTGGCCCGTTACATTGTGACTAATAAAACCTCAGAGCTACCTGTTTTTCAAAATGGGAAGAAAGAACTGCTTTGGATAGAATCAGTCCATCACTGCATCCATCCATCACTCTGTTTTCAACAGAGTAACTTGGAAAAAAACAAATGAATCACAATTTGTGCTCATACCAATTTAGCCACAAAAACCCACCTATGCTACTGTTTGCAGGAAAGCAGAAGAGAGCCTCTGCCCAGTTCCTACAGACACTGTGCAAGCACCAACAACACACTTGGAATTATTCAGCATTTACATACACATGATGTTCTACAGTGGGTACTAAGAGGCAGCTTAAAATCTTTTACTGGGGGATAAATGAAACAGCTCTCCTCCTCTTTCATTCATGTGCTTGTTTTCTGAGTAAAGCAACTGAAATTAATTTTTTAAAAATGTATTTAGTACTCTAAAAATGCCTGGATAGGAAAACTGGGAACTTTTTAGATTTTAAATACTGCATTTACTCAGGGTTTTTTTCCCCTCCCTCCATTTTAGACCCTCAGTAATATCCACTAAATGAAAAGTAATAGGCAGTTAGCTGGAGGCATGTGGTGTAATAATCTCAAAAAAATTAATTTTCTTTTATAAAAATAGTGTAAACAAACAAACAAGCAAGTAACCTAGCAGACATCTGTTTCTAACATCCTTTCCCAATAGACAGTAACTTTACATCCTTGATGAAAATGCAGTTCAGAAATAATTGGTGCAAGAGTTTCCTGGAACAGGGAGTTACTTTCAGAAAAAGCTTCCAAAGAAAATTCTGACTTTTTCCCAGAGAAGTTGAAAATGCAAAATGGTTATTGGAACTGATCTGCAATGAAGCTAATGACAGGCAAATATTTCACTCAAATAATTGCCATCAACTGCAAAATACTTAAAAGTCTTGTAGGAAAGCATGCATCACTGTTTTGGAAAACATATTTTATGCATGTCTGATTTGTGTGAGCACCACCACCTGACACATGCATACACTTTAGAGGACTGTATATACCAACTCCTATATTTAGATAATACTTAAAGCTTCAAGACCTAACCATGGGCACTGCAGACACACAGTGCACAAGCTTGCCTACAAGCAGCTGCATTTATGTTTTTCAAAAAGTGTGACTTACTCTGCTAGCAACTCAGCTCTCTAATTGCCCACGCCATAGATCACTGTAGCAAAGCAACTAATGGCCAGCTGAAATACTGAAATTAAAGCTCTGGAAGGTTGCACTGTTATGATCTGCATGACAAAATAAACAAGAACTGAAAAACAAAGCACTGAGCTGCAGTGCCTGTGACAAAGGACACCCTCTGGTTTGGATTGTCTGTATTAGTGCATGTTTCCTCCTGCAGCTCAGAACTCACAGCTACATCACACACAGGCCAAAGAGCAAATACAAAAAGAGATCTCAGGCAATACCTTTGAGACACCAGAACTGGAGAAGTAGCAAATGGCTGTTTTGCTGCTCTTTTGGAAGAATCCTGTAAGCTGGGCTGAAAAGAGCCTTACTGTACATAAATAGTGGGCTTTGCACACCACACTGGTAAGAGCTGACACTGTGTTTAAAGGGGGAATTTGTCATACTGACAGAGTTACTAGTTACTTGCATCATACAGTAAAAATCTGATCTGCTCTTTTTTTCTGGCTTGACACGTCTGACACCTAACTTTTGGAATCAGAAATTAAGACAAAAAATTATCACAGAAGAAACGGCAAATGTCCAACATCAAAAGCAAATAACTGCTTGTAACAATAAATAAATAAAAAGCTGTAGCTGCAATGTCAGCTGTGAAGGTTAACCTCGAACTACAGCATGCTGGTGGGCTTGCTCTGATTTTTGTTCAACCAGTACACAGGCCTGGGGTTTCTTGTCACCATCTGTAACACTATACTGCTGAGACATGATTCTCTATTTAAGAGCACATAATTTGCACTGGTGTAACTCCACTGACTAGAAGGAAGCTAATTCTAAACTTACCTTAAACACAATGAGAAACAGGTTTTAAACTTCTAGCAAGCAAACTCACATGATTTATAATTGCAGCCTTTTTTCCAAATGGAATCTGAGAAAAGCTAGAAGAAGCTATCTATTATAACCAGCCATCTCTTTTCCGGGAATATGAGAAAGAGCTGAATGAACAAAGCCAAAGTTAGTGCAGGCACTTATTTAGTGTAAATTTCACACACACATTTCCTCACATCAATCATGGAAAACAGAATTTGCAAAGCATTGCCCAGAGAATAAAAACATATCTTTACTGTACATTTTATTTGTACTGTTTCATTAGAGAAGAGTAGTAGCAGAGGGGAAAACTGGCCTCCAAAACAAGCATTATATTTAGGTGTTGAGAGTAAGCACTGTGTAAATGCGTGCATGTGAAGGCAAATCACATCCAGTTAGATTTCATGATGGGACAAAACAGAAGCAATACTAAAACTTCAGTTATTGATACCTTTGCTAATATACACAACTAGAGATCTAGCCTGACTTGTCTGGGCATTAAATAGAGCCACAGTCAATTTACATCGATTCCCCCACAAAGGCTAAAAAAGTCTTGCTAGCTTCCACAATGTCTTTACTTTTCCAAATACTCACAATATGAAGGATTGCCAAAGAAAGAAGAAATGATAACATGCATCTATGTATCATGACAAACCTTATGTTCTTACAATCATTTCCTGAAAGGGTAAGCCATTTGTAGTGCAAAAAAAGTGAACAATGTTACACTGCAAGTTGCGCAAAGTGCTTCATTATCTGAAGATAAAGTCAACTACTGCAGTAAATATTAGATGCAGAGCAAACACAGCCTGAACTTCAGCACAAAATACTGGTATGCTACACAGTCACTTTTTAGCAGAAGGCCAGGAAAAGGAAAGAACAGCTTCATTTCAATTAAAACTCTCTTGCAATTCTATCTAAATAACCTCTCTAAAAATAAATTTAAATAATGTAAACAACACACACATTTGCTTTTTCACACAGGCCAAAGGAGTCTGTACGCTGGTCCACAAGCCTCACTCTTCAGACCTACTAACTTTTTCTGGGGGTAAATGGCTTTAGGGAAACTAAATACAGCCCAAACAGCTGAACGCTTCTCAGTCTGCAAATGGCCCAGGACAGAGCAGTCAACAGTGACTGCTCTTTGCCTACGCTCCACAGGTTAGAAGAAGGAAAAGGACAAAGGTGCGAGCCTGTTTTGTGTGCACAGCCGGGCACTGAGCTGCCAAGAGTGGTTTCTGCTGCTCCAGTTTGCTAGACTTCATTCTCATGCAAGGATTTCTAAATAGGACTGTCAATGTCAGACCACCGGAACTTGAAACCCGCACGACAGATTTGGTTTTAAATCCCACCTGGTAAAAATAAATCTTTTCGCATTTCTGCTCTGGCTTCTTCAGAGAAACATCGTTTTTTCAACCAATCAGCTTCGTATTCGCTTGTGTGTTCATCTGGCCATGTAATAGATAACTTGCAACATAAAAACAGAAGATAATTAAGAATGAAAAATTAAAAAAGCCTTCATGTAAAAAAAACCCTTAGAAATTATAGAAAATGAAATATTTAAATTGCATAAGCACAGTTAAGCCTTCCCTGTAGCATAACTGCAAACAATTAATAATATCCAACCTGAATATCATCCAAATTGTGATACCTTTTACAAATGATCATTTTCACATGAACATATGACCCAATTTGCTGTCTTGGGCAGGCTGCTTTCACTGTGGGAGTTCGGCTTAGCAGAAAGTGTGGCATCACAGAACCTAGCACATATCGCTGAGGAGAGCACTACAACTCAGAGGACAGCAATAATATTTTTGCAAGCTATTTGTGTTTTGGAAAAAGGACAAGAAAAGACATGCAAAAGAGAAATGCCAGGGGATAGGTCTCTCTCCTGGTTTTGAAATCTTTTCCTCCTTTCAAATAAATAGAAAAATATATTTTTTTCCAATTCCTCAAGAAAAGGGAAGAAAGCATACCGTTTTGCTTGTCATGACCAGAATAACCCCCTGCAGCCTGCCCAATTGAATTCTCAAGTCTGCTGTGAGGGTATTGATTCTCATTTCACATACTTCTGGTCATTCATATTATGGTAAAACAGCAATATTAGTTTAGGATTAGTGCTGTGCTTATGCCAATGCCTGAGTACAAACGGAAGCAGACAACCCCTCTAGCAACAAACTTAATAATACATTTCCCAAAGTATGAATTTAGACAGTATAGATTTTGGTAACGGACAATCAACTTGGGAGCTCAGAATTCCTAAATATGCATTCTTACCCTCTGAAGGAGTCATGCTCTTGCACCAGTCAGCTTGTGCAAACTCTCTGCAGCTGAGCTACCTCAGCTGCACAAGGGCTGACTGCTGTACCTTTAAGATGTTTTAGACCTCTTTAACTCTAAAATGATGGATGTGGGTTTGCATTAGCAGGGGAGCCATGTACTGCTTTTAGATAAACCCATAAAATTTGAACAATAAATCAGGTTTCCATACAGGACAGGAAAGATTAAAATTTGTATAAAGGCAAGTTCCTGTCCTGTCTTGCCCAGTAACCTCCCCTCTTTCGAGAGTAGATTTTAAAATAGATATATATATATACACACACATATGTATGTATATACACATATATACATATTAGGCTGATTCCAAGCATTGGGTTCAACTCTGGTTTGAGTGCTTGCTCTAATAAGATTAAGTAGAAGTCTTTTACAGATTGGAAGATGAAGCATCAGCTAATAAACTGACATTTCCTTTATGGATTAAGATCATCTTCACTTTGCCCTTTGCCCTTCTGATTTGAGAGACATTTACTTATAGAATATGGAGAAAAAGACATACGTCAAAGTGAAATTAAGTGTGTGGAATGCCTATTTTTTTTCTTTCTTTTATCTCCTGGTGATGAAGAAATGTACACCAGAATTAAAAAAAGCACAGTTATATTCTAAACACCGAAGGTGCTTAGTGCATGACATTCATGAAATGAAGTTTCATATAAAGGTGAGAAGATCTGAATTCCTCAAATTACAATTACTCCTAAAAGGTTGGCAAATACACAGTAGGATTTAATGGATCAAGGAGTTATGATTACAATATGTCTTGGGGTTGTCTCTAATTTACAGATTAACAAGTACCGTTAAACAAGTTTCACATAAAGCAAAACTAGTTTGTATTAAATACCTTATTTCCAGCTGTCAAAGTGGCATCCTTTACCACAATGTTAACATCCAGGTCCTCGAAAACCAATTTGCGTGCTTTGGCAGAGTGCAAGAAGCAGTCAGGGCATTGGCAGTTGTCTCTCAGCCAGACGCAAGGAAAACGGCTCTCGCTTCCATCCTCCCAGTGAACACAGACAAAATGATTTTCATCCAAAGCTTCCACTTTCTGTATTTTTGCTTTCATGTTGAGAGGCTGAGCTGTATGGCCCACTCGAGCAGCACGCTGCCAGCAACGCCGAGGGAAAGCGGCCCCCGTGACTGTACTCCTGCCCTTTTGTACTTGAAGCAGAGAGCAAGCACAGGCTTGTCGGACTTTGGCCCTTAGCAGGAGGGTAGCCACTACCATCCTCATTTTGACTTCTCTAATAAAATCCGCAGAGGAAGAATGTTTTTGTGGAGTTCCTGAAACACCATGAAGAGCAGTTTATTACCAAAGAAACAGACACGACAGAAAGACAATTTGAAGATCAATCTACCCCGCTTCTCCCCATTTCTTCTTCTTACCTAAACCTTTAGAAATATTGATTATCTGTTGCTTACTTTTTTTGAGGTACAGAGGGTATATTCGGACCCATACATTCAAAAGTCCGTTCAAGAGTCCTGCAGATTAGCAGAGCTTCAATGTGATTCATCATCTTGGTCTTCTTTTAATTTGCAGTTAGTGCAATGCTTTTTGATAAATGGTTTCATTATAGACACCTCAAGATGAGTTCCACAAATCAGAAGTAGGCAATACTACCAATCATGTTTAAAATACCCATACCTCAATTCCTGCAGTGGATACTACTGAAAAGAGATCACAGAATCCATTTCCCTGCAAGGAAAAGCTTTGTTAACAAGAATTCAGCTACAGGCACAGAGTTTGGTGAAAGCTCATTTCTCCTTCCACAGACAGACTACTTTCTATATCTGCTATTATATTTAAAGCTAGCTGAAGTAACTGTATACTCTACTGCAGAAAGGTAACGCATTCCAACTTAAATTGGAAAAGAAGTTCTGGCCTAATACTTTTTTTATTCAGAATAATACTTGGTCTCCCCCTGAATCAATAAATCAATACATTTATTTTTAATAAACTATTTAACCCTTGCAAAGTTTGCATATTTATTTCTAATTTGTTCAGTGTCTTTTTCTGAAGCCTCCCTGTGCAGCCTTTGCATAGGCAGAACCTCATTCACGTCACTATTTTGACTTACTAATGCCTGCAGCAGTTGACAGAAGGTTTTCGATTTTTTCCTTTGCTATCTCCAAGGACTGTGTGGTATAGGACCCCTGGGTCTCCTCTTAGTTTTACTTCATTTGACTGAATTGAGCAAAGCAGAATACTATTTCTACTTTCTTTTGCTTGGGTACAGTCCTATCAGAACCCATAAATTAACAACATTCACTTACAATTAATACAAGGAACAGCTACAGCTGTATGCATACAGACTTTAATCCAAAAAATGGGTTCATATGCAGATTAAGTATATTTCCTAATACACGTATACATATTATTTCCAAAGCATTATTCAAGTATCACAACTGTCCTGCTAACTATAAAAATATTAACATCACAAGACTGGCTGCAGTTTTCTTCTGACATTTCTTGGACAAAATTTTACTCTGTATGACTGTGAAATCATGGTACGTTTTAGGGTTTTTTTTAATCACAGGATAATAGGATACTTATTCTAATCTCTTTGAAACAAGGCTATTCAGCAAGTACTGGAACACAACGAGGGTTTCCAATATTCTGAAACTTTAGAAGATCTGCTTTCCAAATAAAAATGAAAAACATTAGACCATTTTAACATACTGTAAACTTTTGCTATGTTTGTACTTTTTTTGAGATAGTTCTGTTCAAGGCAGCGGATTGTTTGATGACACTGGGACAGATCCAAAAATGCATTTAAGCAACCAAAATATAGTTTAGATGAAACCGAGACAACTACGATGCAGGAGTGCAAGCCACAAAACCACTGCCTAATCGTTTCGGCAGCTGAGAGCTTGTTGACATTTGTGCTTCTGCCTGAAAAGTTATCTGAAACCCCTAGCTAGTACTGCCCAAATCGAAAGTCAGCACCAATGCTGCTACAATCGAGTATCCTCACACGTATCTCTTATCCAGCCTAGGTGCACACCAGAAAACCTTGCAAGGCACAGCTGGGTAAGCATGATCAGAATATTCCTGACACCTAGACAACACGGATTTCAGCAGAAAACATGGCTCTCACAGTTACTTTAATTTAAAAACACAGCTAGAAAGCAAATGAGCAACCAAATACCAGGATTTATCCATTCTGTCTGTCTTTCAGTTCATACAGAATTCAAGGGCAGAACGGTCTTCCTCAAAGCCAACCATCCAGCTCCTTTGTGGATACAGATACACTTCTCTGTATGCTAAATATAACTAGGTACTTCTTCAGGTATTTGCGAGAACCAGCTCATAACTCACTTGTTGGTTCTCACATGAGAACCAACTTTTGCTTTTGAAGTTTAAGGCCAGTAGGAAACTCTGCTCTCCTGGAGGGGGCAGGGGAAATTCTGAGGATTTCATCATTTTGGCTGCATAGTACATCCATGCCAGTAGCTCACTATGTAGCTCATTGACAATGCAGTTCACACATCCATTATGTAGTTCAGATAATGCTTTTGCTCAATATTTTCTCTGGATGCTTCATGGACAGAAAGGGAAAATGGGGACAAGGCTCCCCTGGCGCCTTGACCCTTTCTGATTTCTTTTTGACAATCTGTTTCCGGTGGTGACTAATTCTATAGCAAATCCTTTCACAAAGGTTGCTATTGTGGGCTGTGAAGGAAAATGCCTCTCCTTCCCTCCAGTCTCCCTTGCAACTTCACCTTATTCTCTGCTGGGAAGAGAAGCCAAAGATCTTGCCGTAAGGATGAAAGATACACAAATATATCTTGAGCTGCCATTATAGACCTCCTAAGAGATCAGATTCCTTATCTGATTCATTATATGCAATAAATATGAAGCACGTGTACCTCATTTCAGTTAAGTCACTTGCCAAATATTTTAAATAGTATTCACATGCTTACTTTTCAACCTGCTAACCCACTAAATCACTTTCATCAGTGGAGTCTCAAAGTACTTTGAAGGATGTTTGGGACTTCTTATGTGGTTCACAGCTATCCTTCCATACACTGTCATAAGTATCTGATGGTGCTACCCCATTCAGTTATGCTAACAGAGATTTGATTGTATCTTTCTTCCATGTCAATCAACAGATCCACTCTTTTTTTTTTTTTTTCCTGCCAGAAGGTCCTATCCTGCTTATTTCAGGTAATTTTCCAATAGCGTAGAGAGGACAGAAAAACCTTGTTTCTACCAATTCAACTCCATATATATTCTAGTACTTTAGAGGACAGTATGCCAAAGTTAGGCTTTCAAAAAAGTCTTCTGAACAGGCAAAGCAAGGCTCTTCTTTTAATTTCAGCATGAAGTTATAAGTACCTGGATGTTATACATGAGCTTGCTTAGTATAAGTCTTTTTTTTTTTTTTTTTGAAATGACAAAGCAAGGGACAGGAAAAGGAACAAAGCCTTTACTTTCTGATTATCTTTCAGGGAAGGTTTATTGCTAAGTTTAAACTCTTATGTGAAGCTTCGCAGATTCAAACAGCTTCCAGGCTTCTCGTATTTTACTGTTAAGAAATCAGAACTTGCTTGTAAAGACTCCTCATAGCACTGCATAACTGATTAGCATAATCAATGGCCTACCAGAAAACCGCATAAGAAACATTTTATGGCAAGAAATTAAGGTGAGTCTATCGTGTTCCTGTCACAGATGTTGCTTAAGTGGTATCTGTTCATATGATAACAGATAACTCAGCCACACAAAATGCATGTCAAGAAGACAGCCTTTTAAACAGGCGTCAGTAATTTTTTCAAGTGCTTTGAAACAAAAGGTCAACCTAAAGAAAAAGGGGGTGTGACCACTCCTGGCAGAATTTCTACATAAAAAGAGTAATAAGACTTCTGGAAGTTATGGATGTACACACAATACATGTTACAATGGGGAAGACTGTAAGCTAAATGTGAATTTCTAACTTTGATTAGATGTGAGAAGCAAGTACACCAGGGTTTATCTCGCCTAACTTTGGGTACGTACAACAGTCATCTAAACTTGCATATCACATGCACCATCTGCACCACTTCTAACTAACAGAAAAGAAGAGGCACACTTAGATCAGAGTTCATCTCACCTTTACAGAAGCTTGCTTTAGGACGAGGTGAACTAAACTTATTTCTATTCACTAACTACAAAGAAAGCCTCAACAATCAGTTCCAAAGTGGATGCTATGCTGTTGATGTTTATGTTCAGCAAGACTACTGCTTTTCATGGCTTGCCTCTTTCAATTAACTGATGCTCCTGTTCACATTTCCTGTTCTCTGCATGGCTGGGAGAATCTTGGATGGCAGCAGCCTTAAAGCTTTTTCTACTTGCTAGTAAAGTTATGCTGCTGTTAGAGTTGCCCTCATTCTAAGAGACTTCAGTTTTCAGTGTCATCAATCCAACCTATTGTTAATCACAAAGAACTCTCCTAAAATACTTCCAGTCCTAATTGCTAGAATGTGAAACAGCCACTGCATCCACTCACTGAGTGGGGAGGATCTGTTTCACAGACTGCAGCAGAAGTCTTTGATATATTCAGGATAGAAAACAACTTTCCTGGACAGTTTGTAGTATCCAGAAAAAAATCATGATATGTGGCTTTACTAATATGCAGATCTACTTCATCTACTGTTAGTTTTCCACAAGACTCCAGACCTATTCAGACCTTTCATTTGTGTCTTTTTATTGAAGTCAATGGAATTGTACCTGCATAATACTGTTACTTAGGGCAGAATCTGGCACTTCAATTCCAGAATTACTCAGTTTGCTAGTTGTGCAAGAGGAATCTCTGAAGATCAGTATAGCAAAAAGATTTCCCTGTGGCGAAATTAAGCATTTGCCTTTAATTGTTCAGCAGTTTTTGTATTAAACTTCTGTTTCTGTCTTCATTGTTAAGCAGCTGTTTGGGTTAACCACCTACCGAGAGAAATCTTGTAATAATAAAAAAGCCATTTATTGTTTTCCTTGAGTTAGTCATATCATGGTGTCATTTTTAAAAACAAAACCCAGATGACAATGTTTAAAAATATCTGCTGCGGCACATCCTCTTGATGTTATTCTTCTAAGATACATAAATTAAAAAGTTCTGTAAGCCCAGTTTTTGTCCCCCACAAAAAGTTTCATAGCAAAAAATTCTCCTTTCAGTAGAATTATTTCCCATTTGCACTAGAGTGCAAAGTGTGCACTCTGGTGCTAGAGTGTTCTCGATTGAGTTCTCCACAAAGGCAACCTGGCAGATCTTTACAAGACTACTCTGGACGCAAGGCAGTTTGCACCAACAGATTTCTCATGATTCCTAACGTTGTGCTCAACCTTCCCAGCTGGGCCAGCCACTTACCTTGGTTTGTGTCAGGTAAGCACCACACACTATGAGCCCCCTCCTTCCCACGTCTCCTGTGCAAGAGCTGGATGGTCGTTCTGCTGCAAGTTTTACTGCAGTGCACAGTAACTCTGATGCTTCCAGGGAACACCAACCTCACTGTGTGCGTGTGCACGCCAGCTGTGCTGTGCACACGCACCACACATCGTGGCCCTGAAGTGCCAGGCTCCCCCAAGCCTGCACTGCACAGGGCATCACTGTAGGCAAATCTTCCCATGCTCCACAACTGCAAGGAGGAAGTGGGTAACTAACTGTTCCTGCTTGAACGATAAAGGCAGGCCAAAGGCAGGCCGTTACTAGCATTCTTCTTTCCTGGAGCAATGAATGGCAGAATACTTAAGGCTGAAAACTATCCTTGAGGTAGCACTAGCAAGCTCCTAGCTGCTACATATACAAGAAACCCCTGCTTGATAGCTCAGCCTGTTTCCAGGGCACTGCACAGAAGGAAGTATATGGACTGGGTGGATTTGTCTGGAAACTGTACATTATACCTGATTTCGAATTCAATGATTTTTCTTCATATTGAACACATACAGGACATTAAGGAGAGCCTGCAAATGACACTGAAGAACTCAGACTGTTCATATCAATATCTTCAGAAAATCTTGCAACTGTTCACTTACAAATACTGCACAAGAGCACAGTATTGATACTACCTTCCTGCTCAATAAGACAAAGAAAACATTGTTTCCACTTTACTGAAAGATATGTCTATGTGAGGTCTAACTGATTTCCATTGCTGAGTAGTGATTTGCACAACTATAGCTACCCGCTTATACTGCTGTTTTCCCCAAGAACTTCATGTTAAAATTAAGGCCCCACAGGATTAGGCACCAAACTAAATACTAAATAAATATAACAGCATGTCTCAAAAAACCTGGAGTACAAGACACAAAGCAAGGTGCTGGTAAAGAAAGCCAAATCCAAATTCCTGGTGCTGATCATTCCCAGGCCACGCTGTAGAAACGGGAAGATCATGTTTTTTTTTCTCTAGGATGCTACTGAAGATGCTTAATGGAATCAGTCACACATCATCTGTGCTATCTTGATGTATTCAGAATAGTTTTTTTCAATTCTTGACAGTTGTTTACAGATTTGCATATTTTTTCGTTCTTACAATAAAAGTAGAATGAAAGTCTCACGTCAGTGTAAGTTAAAAGCAAAAGTTCCAGAAGCTTTTATCCCTCTCTCCCTCAAATTTTTCAGGCCAACCCTTCTCCATGTGCTATTATTTTACACTTGAAACTGGATTCTGTATTAAACTAAAAGCAGAACCCACCGGTTCAAATAAAATTACTAGCATGCTAATAACTATGATCATACTGATTTTCTGATGACTCAGAAAAATGCAAAACAAATTCCCTGCATCACAGCTCTCTGCTTTTCTTTTCTCTGAACTAGAGCTATCTGCATAAACTTAGAAGCCACAATTCTGCTCTCAGTTGTCATATAGTAGGTTTGCATAGTTTAAAACAGATGCTACCAACAATGCTCATGATTCACGCTGTCCCATGTGAAAGTAGTCCCAGGCCCAAGGTTTTTCCATTCCCATTGCTCATAATTCACTCATAATCCTCCATAGCGTGACAATGGCCAGCCTGTATGCTGGCAGACAATTATGATTTAAGGTAATCACCATCATCTGGTGGATTACACTTTCAGACTTCCTCCAATCTCTGGTTAAAAGATAATATTCACTGTTCTGTTTCTCAGCAATCCATTTCCTTCAGACTCCTCCGCCTTCCCCCCCCCCCACCCCCACACCCAACATCCAAC